AGCTTCAATGATATCACCGCGCACCGTTAACATACTCATAGTCTGGACAGCACCCTTCTAAATCCGAAAAGTGTCATGCTTGTAGTAAATATTTGGTAGAATTCGGTCCAGGACAAGCTATTAAATTTTTTGCTGCGCTCCGGTCTATCACAGCAGTTTTCCTAATACCGTAGAGAAGTTTTTTTTTATTAACAAATAAAACTCGATTACTAGACTCCTAGCCTGATACGAACTAAATTAAAAATTGCTCATAATGAACTTATCATCTTATCATTGATCATAAATAAAATAAATGCTGTTAGCTGTGAGCTTTTGCTGGTCCCATGAATATAATTCAATGGATATGATATAATATAAATATTCATATACTAATATAATACAATTATTCAAACAATATACACATAATATAGTAATGACCCTATATAAAATCAACCCTTAAAGAATTCAAAAAATTCCCTTAACAATCAAAAATTACCCCTTGGCCTTGTGGCTCCAAGTTAAGATCTAGACTGTTTATATCAACAATGTTTTTTTCTTGCACCCCTGTCTCCACGGAGAGAAATCACTGTTGTTGTATTCATATACTTGCACATTTACGAGTCTTCTGAATCTATTATATTACATAATACACGACTTCTCATTCATAATTCATATCAAACATTTATATACTCATGCAGCGAGAACAAAATATTTAGTGTCGAAACTAACACAAGCAGTCATATTGCCGTGTTGTAAAACGGCCGACCGTTTACTACAAGTTAAGCATCAGTCAAGTCAAATCAAATCAAAACATAGTTTTAAAAAACGTATACGCTATCTGCAACATTTGACATCTAGCACAACGTGCACAGTCTGGTTTAGTCAACAATGTTACCTGGGAACCTCAGGCTATCATGTTCGTTAATGAATAGAGATTCGGCGGAATGACAGGCTGAGCGCTGCCCAATAATCAACAATGCAGCTCTAAACGCTGCGGACTTGCTATTATAAAAATTGATGAGCGCTCGATTTGAAATCCCGACGCGCATAAAAACTGCCACTAACTGCTACTAACTGCCACTAACTGCCACTAACTGCCACTAACTGCTACTGTCGCGCGCAAATGCGTGGGCGCGATTGTAGCAGTTAGTGGCAGTTAGTGGCAGTTAGTGGCAGTTTGTAGCAGTTAGTGGCAGTTTGTGGCAGTTAGTGCAGTTTGTGGCAGTTAGTGGCAGTTTGTGGCAGTTAGTGGCAGTTTGTAGCAGTTAGTGACAGTTTATTTGCACTTAGCTCCTCCTGTGACCAGGACGCGCGCCGAGTTGGACTCGTCGACGGTCCTGTTCCAATATATGGAACAGATATTTTACGAGTATCACCCGTTAAGCCGTGGACAGTGGATGGACAAAATTGGGATTGAAATAACAAATATATCAAAATATTTCTTGCGCCGCGCGCATTTTCATCACTCTTCATCCCCTCTGTGAAGCTATTAGAACTTTCCTGATACCTTGCCAATCCGTATTAACACCAATCCGTGTTCTTTCTTTTGATTGGTCGGCGTCCACTGTAAGCCTTCCTTGCGGTTGCTTTCACAACGCGTCCCCATTCTCCAACTCCTGCTGCTAAAGAGAGAGAGACTCCCAAGTTATATACCATAATATATTATACATAGATATCGACAACAGACTCCGAGAGTCTTGAAGTTCTGTTACCACCGCCCCTGGTGCAACCCCTTACGGGTTAACGATGAGGAGACAGGGACTTCCAGGGACGGTCTGGCCTGCTACGTGCAACTCGTAGGAGTATGCAATGTTCCTGTAACGTCACTGTAGACCTTTCCTCTGTCGTTGTTTTGAGTGTCCGATTCAAAAACCAAATCCTAGGGTACACGAGACGTGGAAGCCTGTGAGCGTTTTAGAGTCTGTTAAGTGTTAGAGTCCTAGGTTACACGAGACGTCGTAGCCTGTGAGCGTGTTAAATCCTAGGGTTACACGAGACATGGTAGCCTGTGAGCGTGTAGACTGCTCCTCTATCGTTGTTTGAGAGTCCGATCCAAACCAAATCATAGGGTACACGAGGCGTGGTAGCCTTTGAACGTGTAAAATCCTGGGGTTACACGAGACATGGTAGCCTGTGAGCGTGTAGTCCGCTCCTCAATCGTTGTTTTGAGTGTCCGATCCAAAACCAAATCCTAGGGTACACGAGACGTGGGAGCTGTTAGCGTGTTAGAATCTGTTAAGTGTTAGAGTCCTAGGGTTACACGAGACGTGGTAGCCTGTGAGCGTGTTAAATCCTAAGGTTACACGAGACTTGATAGCCTGTGAGCGTGTTAAATCCTGGGGTTACACGAGACGTGGTAGTCTATGAGCGTGTAGACCGCTCCTCTATCGTTGTTTTGAGTTTCCGATCCAAAACCAAATCCTAGGGTACACGAGACGTGGAAGCCTGTGAACATGTTAGAGTCTGTTAAGTGTTAGAGTCCTGGGGTTACACGAGACATGGTAAGCCTGTGAGCGATAGACCGCGCTCCTCTCGTTGTTTTGAGTGTCCGATCCAAAACAAATCCTAGGGTACACAAGGCGTGGTAGCCTTGTGAGCGTGTTAGAGTCTGTAAGTGAGTCCTAGGGTTACACGAGACGTGGTAGTCTGTGAGCGTGCTAAATCCTGGGGTTACAGGAGACATGGAATCCTGTGAACGTGTCAAATCCTGGGGTTACACGAGACATGGTAGCCTGTGAGCGTGTAGACCGCTCCTCAATCGTTGTTTTGAGTGTCCGATCCAAAACCAAATCCTAGGGTTCACGAGACGTGGGAGCCTGTGAGTGTGTGTTAAATCTGTTAAGTGTTAGAGTCCTAGGGTTACACGAGACGTGGTAGTCTGTGAGCGTGCTAAATCCTGGGGTTACACGAGACATGGTAGCTTGTGAGCGTGTAGACCGCTCCTCTATCGTTGTTTTCAGTGTCCGATTCAAAACCAAATCCTGGGGTTCACGAGACGTGGGAGCCTGTGAGTGTGTGAGAATCTGTTAAGTGTTAGAGTCCTAGGGTTACACGAGACGTGGTAGTCTGTGAGCGTGCTAAATCCTGGGGTTACACGAGACATGGTAGCTTGTGAGCGTGTAGACCGCTCCTCTATCGTTGTTTTCAGTGTCCGATTCAAAACCAAATCCTGGGTTACACGTCATGTGGGATCCTGTGAGCGTGTTAGTTTCCTGCGGAAGGTGTTATTTGCCTGTGGGAAAAGCTGTTATGCTGCGGTTTTAAGGTTAGTAGAGGCTATTAGAGCCTTTCCTTGTTGTAGAGATGGCTAGTCCCTTCCTTTGCATAGGTAGAAACACCCATGCACCTCCCGTTCAAACCGGTGAGGTTTTTCGTGGGGCACCAATCCGTGTTAACATCAACTACAGTTTTCCGGTAATTCTCTGAGACATTACTGTAATGTGAAACTTTGCACAGATGAAACGAATCCTTAGCTATCTCCCTAGACTAGGTACCACTGGGATTCAACCCTAGAACTTCAGTACAGAGCTGGAAGCTCTAACTAATCGGCCACGTAGCCATTTGTACGATCAGACGTTAAAAATCAAAGAGAAGAAATATTTAAGGTGCATAAAAACGATTGTGACATTACGTAGGATTATCAAAATTGATACCAATGTCCATTTGAGCACAAACACTTACAATTCTATTCATTTAACATTTTCTGCTGCTCCTACTGTAGCGAAAAGTTCTGTGAGAGGGATAACGAAAGGGAGACACTTTACATGTGTGCTAAAGGCAGTTGTGTTGTGCAGATAAGTGAAAATTTCTATTAATACGACAAACAACTATCCAGACTATCACATCCACTTGCATGGGACTTGAGCAGATAACTTAAGAAGACAATCTACTAGACCTTGCATTCTGTATGTCATGAAGGGAGAGTACTGAGTGCTTTTTGTTAGCAATTTGTATTCCTTTTGTTGGCAGCAATAAGAGCCGTAGGGGGAGTTCCATCCCAATCTTACAGATCTACAGGACTCATGCTGCCGCTGAGCTGAAGCAGTAGAGGGGATGGCTACTTCTCTGGGATCTAACACATCCTGAATCAGACCAACACTATGTCCCAACGGCACTGGTGTTGGGATGTCTGCCCCCGGTGCCTGCCCGGATCAATAAGCAGTCAAGCATCATGATGTTAAAACGTTGAGCATTCTCAACCAGCAGATCTGGGAACTCCCACGAAGGACCGAAACAGATCTAAATAGACAATTAGCAAATCGGAAAAGTAGACTCGAATTTGTTTATATAATTTATAAAGCGTATGTTATTGCCACGTTAAGGGGCCTGTTAATAATTAATTAAATTATTAGCTATAATAATTTAATAATTATCTTACAGATCGATGAGATTGAGGAGTTATCAATTGTCCTCATATTAGCTCATTCTGTCATGAGAGTGACAACCTGTGGATCAGATATTGTCTATATTTAGATCCCTGCACAGATTTTCCTTACCACTTCCATCCTATGTCCAACTAAGATTTCCAGTATATTAAAGTAAGAGAACCATTTCCGAACAGCAGAATTCACAACTCTGATTTCTGTCCTTTCATTACTTCTATCCAATAGAATCACTTCCAAGGTTTTGGGAGCTCCAAACATGATGTAATTCGTTAGCAAATATTCACTTCACAATTTTAAATCAACTCCAAATTTTACTTGACAATTGAACCATCAACCTTTTCTATGTAAACCTTCTTGTTCATACTATTTTCATACATAATTGAATCAGATAATGATTTTAGGGATAATATCCGGTAGTAGAGACTAGGTAAGACAAGTGAAGCTACTGTTTAGGAGGAAACGCGAGCTTTCAGTGTGCTACACTTTCATCAGGCTCAAATTATTTGTTATATAGTAGTGTTGAAAGTATTAAAAATAATTGGATCACTTTGCTTAATTACTCGCCAAAAGAAATGCTATATATCTAATTTCTTGAGAACATTGTTTTAATCTTTAACCTTCTGTTAGGGATTAGCAATGACCCTGTTCCATTTGGTAACTGCTTTGCTCTGGCATATTTCCCCTACCTCATAGTGTACAAGAACTCTAAACTGTGAGTATAAATTAGATTATACTCAATCTGTTAACAATTTACTTAGATTACTTCATCTGTTGCTAATTATTTAATCGAAAATTAAGATTATTCAATTATCATATTTAGTTTAGCTTGAATTCTACTCACAATTTACTATCTTCAGTGTTGCAATAAATTCCTTGATTTTATACAAATAAATTTTGTATTTCAGATCAGAGTACAGTTCGTTCTGGCATGTGTGAAAGCGCGAGGTGTAACTGTTTGACACAGCTATGCAAGGTGAGAATATCCTGCTAATCTAGCTCTGCTCACCTCTTGGGTTAATATCGGATATCTTTCTTAAATATATGTGCTTGGTAGAGCTACTTAGTTTTAAAAATATCTGCAGGGGAGCCTGTGTATTTTATTATATTAAAAAACACATACATATGTAAATATGAAGTTTGTACTCATTTTTCTGTATGCAGATGATAATCCTGGCTACCTTCTTCCCCACCTACGAAGTACCAGTGGGGAAGATTGACCTTCACGGTGAACTCATGAAGGGAGCAGTGGAGCTGTTTGATCTTATCGGACTCTTCGTCATTATATCTCAACAGATTGGGAGAGGTGATCTCAAAATATTAGGTCGCTGGAGTCGTACGTTCTTGAACTTTTGTTAACTAAAAGATATTAAAACATTATAAGATTTAACGTAGAGCCTTCGTTTGCATTAGTATTCATACCCCACTTATGGAACCAAAAGATTGCCCCTTTGCTTGACATAATATCTACATTGTTCTTGTCACCAGGATGGGCCATGGCTGAGCTGATCAGCATGAGGCTCCTTCCTCTTTGGGTCGGAGCACGCGGTATTGAATTCAGCTGGAAGTATATCCAACTTAGTTTCGAGGCTAACATCAGCTTGGTTCGTTTTATTTTCTTTACTTTTTTCTGTTCAATATAAATAATAAACTTCTCTGTTGATTTGCTTTTGTGTCATCAGATTTAATCAACGAGATAAATTGTATCAACGAGATAAGTGCGTCTCGAATTTACAGTTCGTTTCTCTCTCCAGGCTCATCACATAATAATGGCGATGTTGATCTGGATGTGACGAGGAACAACATAGAGAGGTCCTGTGCTCCCCCTCATAATATCCCTGCTCCTCCTCTGGCAGCTCCAAAACAAACCTCTTGAGTAAGTTTAACCTTCGCGTTAAGGTGCTTTATGTTCGCGAATATCAGCCGAAAAAGATGTACGGTCAAGCCATTGAGAAACTAGTCTGTACAGTGAAACTTCAAATTTCAAATCCGCATTTGTTATTGTATCGGATCAATTTTTACCAGAGCAACAAATTTCTAATCACGCAGATATTAGATTATTCAATATGGAAAATTGTTGTACACTGTAAGTGGTTGTATTCAATTTTAGACAAATAAAACTACAAATTCGGGTCTTATCTCGGAAAGTGATAAGGAAGTATAGAAAACATTTTTTTGGTTTTTTGGGAAATATCCTCTTTTTTTGTGTTTTTTGAGATATACATCCTGTTTTTTTTTGCTTTTTTTAACGTTTTGTGATAGTACAATGGTATAATACAAACTCAATTAAAAATGATATAGTAGATGAAATGCTAGTGTTTGATCAGCTGTTTTCTTGATCCATCTTCGTTTTGGAGTCCTCGTCCTACTACACGGCCGCCCTTCATTCATGAGTCTGCTTTGTTTCTGGTCTCCGACGTGAGAGTCTAATCCAATTCTGGAATTATAGACAGGAATAGTCTTGGTAGTCCTCGATCTTGTCTATTTTTTCTAGGCTTGCTAGTTGCGAACTTCATCTCTTCGCCATACTGTTGGGTGCATGCTTATAAGCGGGATAAAGCTAGAATTAGTCCCACAGAAAAGATCTTCGAACTCGGTTCAAGATGGTTCCGATTGTCTAATACGTTCCAATCGGTTCTTCATAAACGCCTTCAGTTCTTCGACAATTCAGAAAGTCCATCACCGATGGAGGTAGCTTTGCTATCCACCGCATACGCAGCGCAGCGGTATGTGCCTTTCCTAAACAACGAGTTCTTCACTCGAGGTGAGGAAACCTTTTTTTTTCCTTCTCCCGTTCGGAAGTAATGAAAACGTAGGCTTTTGCCGGGGTACGTGTTTCACCCTTTGCACGACCAATTGCAATCGTTATAATCGATTTGTTCGTCATCTTCGACACTTCCGAGAAGAGCCACTAGATTGACGTAGATATTATGTCGTCGTCAGACGCTCAAGGTAATTCATACATGAGGAATGTTGGGCTGTATCCAGAGTGACTGGGGTCTCGTAAGACAGAATTCCAGTTTGATAACGATGAGAGAATCATTTTGGTTTTTAAGTATTCTTTTCGTAGATTGTCCTTTTCCATCCTGGAGTACAGAGAGGAGACGTACTTCGGGTAATGAATGTTGCTTTGACTAGAATCAGAACAAGCAGTCCTTTGGGCGTGTCCGACTCTCCAACACTTGTGACAAGCCCCAAGGCAAGCGAGTGAGAGTCGGTTAAGGTACCAAACGCGATTAACTGAATGAGTGCCTTTCTGAGTCTTTGATATTGTAGGATGCTGAGTTCTGCCACCTTTATCAAATTTGTCAGATGATAGTAACTTCAAATTCTTTCAAGATCGTCCTTTCCGTTAGGTCATCGCGGGTATGCAGTAGTCGGTAACACCAAACTTTCTATCCCACAGAAAATTGTTAAACATTTATATTATCGTGTAAATTAGCAAACTACTTAAAGTAGAGAGTTAGAGTGCAGACGTCCGTAGGATTTGAAAAGCCAATGCTGCGATGTACCTTCTTGTAAAGTGCCTGACATTATTTTCATAAAGTTGCCCCAATTGTCTCAAGATACCTCCGGAATCACTAACTTTACGTAACGCGCAAAGACTTAAGATCATCGTAAGTCTGGAGCGCACGCATTTTCGGACTTAATTAAATTGATGTGACTAGCTTACGGCTGTTTAGCTCTGATTTGCTCTCGGACCCGATAGGAAATTCAAATCCTATGGGATCCTAGAGCTAATCCTAGCGAGATAGGATTAAACAATTCCGAGTGGCGATAGGATTTGCTCTCGGACACGATAGGAAATTTAATCTTACGATCCGAGAGCTAATCCTAGCAGAGATAGAATTAAACAATTCCGAGTGGCGATAGGATTTGCTCTCGGACCGAATAGGAAAATTCAAATCCTACAGGATCCGAGAGCAAACCTAGCGCAGTAGGATTAAACAATTCCGAGTGGCGATAAGATTTGCCCTCGGACACGATAGGAAATTCGAGAATCCTACGAAGGATCCGAGAGCTAATCCTAGCGGAGATAGGATTAAACAATTCCGAGTGGCGATAGGATTTGCTCTCGGACCCCCGATAGGAAAATTAAATCTTACGGGATCCGAGAGCTAAATCTAGGCGCAGTAGGATTAAACAATTCCGAGTGGCGATAAGATTTGCCCTCGGACACGATAGGAAATTCAAATCCTACGGGATCCTAGAGCTAATCCTAGCGGAGATAGGATTAAACAATTCCGAGTGGCGATAGGATTGGCTCTCGGACACGATAGGAAATTATAAATCTTACGGGATCCGAGAGCTAATCCAAGCAGAGATAGAATTAAACAATTTCCGAGTGGCGATAGGATTTGCTCTCGGACCCGATAGGAAATTCAAATCCTACAGGATCCGAGAGCAAATCCTAGCGCAGTAGGATTAAACAATTCCGAGTGGCGATAAGATTTGCCCTCGGACACGATAGGAAATTCAAATCCTACGGATCCGAGAGCTAGTTCCTGCGGAGATAGGATTAAACAATTCCGAGTGGCGATAGGAATTTGCTCTCGGACCCGATAGGAAATTTCAATCTTACGGGATCCGAGAGCTAATCCTAGCGGAGATAGAATTAAACAATTCCGAGTGGCGATAGTATTGCTCTCGGACACGATTAGGAAATTCAAATCCTACGGATTCCGAGAGCTAATCCTAGCGGAGATAGGATTAAATAATTCAGAGTGGCGAAAGGATTTTCTATCGGACCCGATAGGATAATAAAATACTATGGGATCCGAGAGCAAGTCTGAAAGGCGATAGCATTTGGAAATTGGAGCAATTTAATTGAAGAAGATACAATTTAGTTCATTTAGGATACTATAAACCCTTTTTCTTGTAGTATTCTTCAAGTTAATAACAGGGTACCTGCAGTACTCTTCAGGTAAACTTTAGGTACCAGTACCTTGTGTATTCTTCAATTTTAAAATCAGGGTACCTTGCAGTACTTTAAAGTTCATTCAGGGTACCTTGTAGTATTCTGCAAGTTAACATCAGGGTACCAGTGGCGTAACGAAGGCCCCGCTAGTCGCGACTATTCTTTCCCAATTTTGCGCGCTCCGAAACTACAATCCACAAATCACTTCCACACTTTCCTTGAATGTTACTCGTATATTATTGTCAAAAATTGCACAAACATTATGAATGAGATTATAGGGTTTGCTCAAATTCCCAATAAGATCTGTCCAATTTCCGGATCATATAATTTCAAGACAGGCCCTAATGGGTCAAATTATAAAGTTTCACCTACGTATTAGTGTACATAACAGCCGGGGTGCGCTTCATATTCCTGTAACTTTAGTAATCCTAACTATTCTCATTCTCAGACTGCAAAGGGACACTGTTCCACGTAAAATTTTGTAATCCTAACTATTTCTCATTCTCAGACTGCTAGTACACTGTTCCACGTAACTTTAGTAATCCTAACTATTCCCATTCTCAGACTGCTAGAACGCTGTTCCCTGTCTCCTCGTTTGGTATACTCTCCATTAACGTCTGTAACAATGCTGGTCGGGCTACGCTACCCATCTTACATTAACCTCTGTATCCAAAACAACTCCTGGGGCAACCCCAAGGTACCGTTACTTCTCTTATTTTATTTCCACCTTAGATGTATTCATACTAATTATTTTGTTGAGCAAATTGTGTCTATTTTCTTTAGGCTGTTATCGTTTTTTTAAATTTACAGCACTGTTGCCGGTGCCCTGGCAAATAAGAACAAAAATGAATTATGATAAACAGCATTTGATATTTCCTTTATTTCAGTATCATTAAAACCCCACTAAGTTCCTGCAAAAGTCTTCCTGACTCCCTGTTAACGCCCCACAACGGAAAATCCAGTATTGGGAAGACAAGTTATACGATTTCCCGGGATTTGTAACACCTTGAGATTTCACTATCGAAATTCTAATATTATTAGGGATCGTTCCCTAATTCACATAACTGTAAGCCAGATTTTGAACTTTCAGACCCCCATGCTCCCCCGTTTTAGTCTTGACACGTAGCTACTGACCAGAAATTACACTAGCGCAAGCTTTTCTCCCTGGGCGTAATATGTGAACGGTCCCTTGGTGCAATAATCGAATATTTCTTGGACGTGGTATGTTTTATTTTCAACTCCATTTACTTTTTTTTTAAAGGGTTTAAACTTTGAGTATCTATTATGTAATGTTGTATACTGTTTTCGAACGCATTTATTTTGTTTGTTTGCTGATAAATTGATGAATCAACATTCTCATTATATTTTAAAGGGTAGTTTAGAACTTAGAATAGAATAGAATAGAATGAATCAAATTTTAACACAGCTGAACACAATTGGACACAAAATTAATCTCCGTTGTTGTCTCAACAAGTACAGTACAGTGAGGACAAGCAACACGCCCCATTATATTTACCAACAACTGAGCAATTATTGCCAAAAATCAAACACATGTCCAAAATTAAATAGATTAAAAAAGCCAATCCCAAAAAATGGGTATCCAAACGACCCAAAACTACTTCAGTTACAGTTGTAGATCAAAAAGCGACTTGTAAGATGTATTTTGTACTTAAATAAAGCTAGACATGAACCTCTACATTGTTCAGCTGAAAAACTGGCCTAGTGCCAGCCCCGCACATAGCCCGTTCCAGCGCTCTAAGTTTGAAGGGTCTGACCCGCATGGACCACCAGTCCCACCCTCTCTGGCGGGGTCACTGCAAGTTGAACACCTGAGCAGCAGCGGACGGGTGTCTAGTATGGTCTCAGCGAACCTGGAGCCCTCTGTTAACAGTTCCTCTAGATCGGAGCAGCAATTGTCATAATGTTCAGCTAGATCTTTGTAGTTGAGATATCTTTGGAAGCTATTCTGGACCCTTCTAGTAAACCTGGGGTTATAAGGTTTACTTAAATATATAACTTTAAATAATTTGTTCATTCCACCCCCGCAAATGACTTGATAGTCACGTAATCCAATATACCCCAGTAAGCAATACCTTTATTTACAATAATAAAGCATTTTTAACTCCACAAATCACTACTAGTTTCTAACACATGCACAAATTTCGAATAGTTCTATTCCACTATAGCCATTTTAAAATGCATAATTATAAATATATTTCTTAATAATTTACTAATATTATAATAGCTTGGCCGATGGCTCATCGCAATACGCCTTGTTATTGACAAAAAGGTTATTTTGCACATGCAATTAGCGCATTTGCATTTGCACGTGCAAACATCTTTTTCTATAATAATTCTAGTTACAAGTAAGAGAAATGATTCATTTCTGTTGTGATCGTCCGCTATTCCTATGCTCTTCCAATGATTTATGAGAAGGCACAAAAGTTTATAAACAGGCCCAACTCCGAGTGAGTGGAGATCGTAGGCTACCAATGGCAATAGGCAATTTACCCCGCCGATAAAAAACTTACCGCCGATATGTCTCTGCTCTGCGTTGAGTTCGTGCGGGAAGTAAGTTTCTGTCGTTAAGAAAACTGCAACCTCGATGCAGGCTATTTTTAATCGCTAAAAGAAGGTAAATGTCCATAACCCGCACCATTAAATACTGGATACTAGCCCCGAGTAATAATTAGATTAGAGACCGGTTTTAGAAAATAAGGGGAAAATGAAAGCCGTCGTGCTGGCTGCATATATTTATAACCAAAATTAGAAACTTAAAACTATAACATTTAGTAATACTCAGCGTTTAAACTAACGAATGCAGAATGGGATTAAAGGGAAGCGTG